CAAATATTTAACTGCATTCAGCACACACTCCCTGAGATCCCTGACACTGGCTCTTCTAGACCAGAGTGTGCTGGACACTGACCCAGGGGCCACAGAGATGACTCTCACCTGGTCCCTTGTCTTTGATGTCACAGCCTAGACGAGGATGCAGGCTTGTACATTTGAGGTTAGTTTTGTGTGGCAAAAGTTCACTCAAAAAGTATTTCAGGAGCTCAGGGGTGGGGTGGTTAGGAAAGGCTGGCTGGGGCTGGGAAGATGTGAATAGCTAGAGAGGATGAAGTTGGGGCAAGCCAAGTGGGGGCGGAGGCTGTAGAGCAAGGGCTTGGAGTGAACAAGCCAACACAATAAACAGTGATGAAACGCTCCCTTTATGTCCATGACTGTACTGGGCACTATGCTAGGTGCACAGGCTTCTCTCAATACCTTAGCAAGGTAGGCATTCCTGTACCCATGTTACAGATGAGAAAACTGAGGCTCAGAGAGTGAAGTAGCTTACTCAAGATCACACTGCTAAGAAGTGGCAGAACCAGGACTTGAACCCACCTGTGTGTGCCTCCAGTTGCCTTTCAGCAGGCCTCCCTGCCTCCTCGAGCTGTGCACTGTGAAGGATTCAGAGAGGAACCCCACAAGGATCCTGACCCCAGGTGCTCCCAGGCTAATGGGGAGACTGGTTACATGGCTGGTACCCAAGGAACAGTAAGAGGGGGCATAAGCAAGATGGAAGCCTTGAAACCGATGAAAGGGCAATGACAACTCAAAGAAGGGAGAGTGCGAACTTTGCTGGAAGTTTCAGGGATGACTTCATGGTGGAGACATATTAGAGTCTATTAGTGTTTCCAGACTGGTGAGGTTTGAGCATGATAGCACTTTGCAGCAATCAACTTATGTTGCTAAGTAATCCATACATCTCTCTGAGTTTCATTTTATATATGGGGAAACCGGGGCACTGAAAGGTTAAATAACTTGCCCACGGCCCTAGAGCTAAGAACTGGCAGAGCTGAGACTTGAACTTGTGTCCTCTGAGTCCAAGACCGTCCTCCGTCCACTCCTGGCAAAGGGAACTAAAGGAGCATTCCTGAGACATGACTGGAGAAGGGAAGTGAAGGGGAGGAGAAACTTGGTGGAAAGGTCAAGGCTGCATTGTGGGGTCCTGAACGCCACAGTTTGGTAGTCAACTGAGGGGAAAGTGGCGGCATTGACGGCTTTTGAGTCAGAAAGGCATAGGATAACATTTGACTTTAGAAAGATTCGCCTGGTACTAGGTATAGGTGGAAAAGGGTGGGAGAAGAGAGAAAGGAAGTGAGGGCTTCTCCCTAATATCGAGGTGGAAAGGAATGCAATATGAACTGGGGTGCTTCAGACATGGGGCCAGGGGCTGGATATGAGAGATGCTGTGGGGGTAGACTAAACAGGATGTGCATAGTTCCTCTTTAGGACCATGTGATCTGGCCCTTACCTACCTCTCTGACTCCATCTCTTCCCACTTCCCCCTTGCTCACTGCACCCCAGCCAAGGTGACCAGCTGCTCACCCTGGAAAATGGCAACTTTGTCCCCACTCCAAGACCATTGTACTTGCTGACTATTTCCTCTGCCCAGCACTCCTCCCCCTAGATCTTTGTGTGACTGATTCCTTCTCCTCCCTCTGGTCTTGGCTTACATGTCACCTCCTCAGAGAGGCGCTCCCTGACCACCCTAATGAAGTAAGCACTCAGTCACTACTACCTCACCCTGCTGTATTGCCTTCATCACCCTTATCATAGCTGAAGTTAGCTTGTGTATGTGTACCTCTCTCCACTCACCCATCTACTAGAATGTGTGCTAAAGGCAGGTGGGAACCTTGTCAGTCTTGTTCACTGCTGTATTCCCTGTATCTTAACAGAGTCTGGTCTGGCACATAGACATTTCACAACTACTCGTTGAATGGCAGAATGGAGGAGTGTTTGAATGGATGGATGGTTGTGGAGGAAGGTGAGAAGGAGGGAGGGGTTATGGCTGATTTGGGGATCTGAGCTGGGCAGCCAGGAAGATAACAGTGCCACCAACAGAGACAGAACAGGCAGTGGGGAGCAGACTGTGTGTGGGAAGATGATGAGTTTAGCTTGGGCCTGTTGAGTTTGATATGCAGGTGGGGCCTCCAGGTAGAAAGGTCCACTCATGCAGTGGGAAATACTGGCCTGAGGTCGAGGAGGTGATGGGGCTCTGGACAGGGACAGGGTGGGGGGTCATCTGCACAGAGGTGTAAACTGAAACAACGGATGTCAGTGAGGTCCCTAACGAGAAAGCTGAAGCAGGGAGGAGAAGGAGAAGGAAGAATTTGGAGGAATGCTTGAGGTCGGGGTGAGGCAGAGGGAAGAGAGAAGTGGGAGGGGCAAGGATAGAAGGCCAGGAGCTATGGCCAAAAAAGTAAGAAGAGATCTTATTGCGTAGAAGAAGGAGGGCTCAAGAAGGAAGATATGGACATGGGGCCACATTCTCAAGGAGGAAGTAGAGTAAAAACCATTTAGTAGTTAGGATGCACAATATCACTGGGATATTTCAAGCCTGGTGAGGAGGTAGGTGTGTCCAGAATGGTGGGAGCTGAGGCTGTGGAGGCCTGGGAGCCACTAGGGTAGGTAGGACCTTGATGCCAAGTAGAAAATAATATGCATACCCCAGCCACCCACCCAAGCCCAAGCCCTCCCCACAGAGCCTGACTGACAGGGAGGAGGAGGGCAGAGGAGACTACCATGTAGTCAAGTCTGCTATGTGCTAGGCACTATGCAGCCACATTCACGACCATTGGCTCATTTAACCTTGACAACAACCTTGCAAGACATAAATGAGGATTATCCTTATCATCTATGAGAAAAAGAAATCAGAAAGGTTAAATGTGTCACTTAAGGTCACACAACCAGGCCACAATGTAGCTAGATTTGAACCTGGATCTGTCTACCATCTACCCTCGGCCACTCTGGCAACAGGGCACTGGAGACTAGAAAATAATAGATGGAAGCTCACAGATAGATTGTCCAATTCCCACATGGGATTCACCCACAGCCTGGTTTCTTTGAGCTATCGGGTCAGTGGAGGCACAAGAGGAAAAAGTATAGGCAACAGGGGTGGGAATTGGAGGGTGAGAGTTCTCTGGCACCAGGGAAAGGAAAAGGTCAACTCAGGGTGGGTCGAGGTATAAGGCTGAGGGCTAGAAATGACCATGGGCAGTGCTTGCCACGTATGTGGGAGTGAGGGGCCTGGGTGGCCTCATCTCTATGAGATCCACTCCCCTGTCTATTGGCCATGATGGTCCATTCATGGATTGCACAGTGGACCAGACAGAGGCACAGGGATGGGAGCCTCTGCTTTATGCACGGGGACACCACTAAGGTCCAGAGAAGCTCCTCTGCTTGGCACTACCTCTCCCAGGATGCCAGATGTAGGGGAACCACACTGGGCAGCTGGTCCAGGGCAGCAGAGTTCAGAGCTGAAAGGTTGGGGGAATATTCTCTGGCCCTTCTAAGAGCCCCCCTCATAACTCTTTATCTGTCTCCTAGTGACTATCAGCTGGGTCGTCATTTTCATACTGCCCATTAACAGTATGCTCAACCCCATACTCTGTACCATGACCCAGCCTCCTTCCATGACCAGCCGCCTGTGCCAGAAGGCCCCTGGCTGCCTTCCTCAAAAACTACTGGTCGGGGGCTGGCCCTGTTGCCAAGTGGTTAAGTTCACATTCTCTGCTTCAGCAGCCGGAGTTTTGCTGGTTCGGATCCTGGGTGCGGACATGGCACCACTCATCAGGCCATGCTGAGGCGGCGTCCCACATAGCAGAGCTAGAAGGACCTACAACTAGAATATACAACTATGTACTGGGGGGTTTGGGGAGAAGAAGGAGAAGAAAAAAAAAGGTTGACAGCAGATGTTAGCTCAGGTGCCAATCTTTAAAAAAAACCAAAAACCTACTGGTCGGAGCTTCACACCGGTGTCCCTCAACACCAGTGCTGCTTGAGCAATCTCCCATCCCACACCCACACGTGGGGCACCTCCATTGTTTTCCCAAAGGCAAGGGGCTGACAGGCCCTCTGCTCCTCCTCCTTTCCTTTCAGGGCTAGCCAAGACCTCCAGGCAGCAGCAGTAAAAAAAGGCCAAAGGCATGTAGAGATGGCAGAACCCAGAAGAGAATGGAAGGAGGTGACAGAGAAGTGGGACTTGACAGGCACCCCAATCTGTTCAGGCTGAGTGAGGGTGGAGACTGGGGTGGGCCAACCTGAAGTTACTGAGCCAGACTTGTGACGAGGTATCACTGGCCTTTTTGGCCCACGAGGAAGCTGAGGTTGGGAGAGAGAGAGAACAGGACTTGTTCGTTCCAGGCTACTCCATAGCACTGAAGGGATGCAAACACAGATGTGATCGCAAAGCCTGTACTCTCTCTAGCTGCTCCTCAGAGCTGGGGAATTTTAGGGCTACAGCAACATGGCAAAGACAAGCCTGCGGGAAAGACAAAATGAGGGGGCCCCTCTGTACCTGGGGATTTGCTGGTCACTGGTGCCAGACTAGAGGCTGTCTCGAGGCACTTAGACCTCTCATAGGCTGGCTTATGAGTGGAACAGCTTCCCCAAGCCTCCTGGGGCTGAGTCTCCACTCTTCATCCTTCAGCTTAGGCTGAGTGTGGCAGGGGAAGGAAGGACAGCATAACCAGGGGCATCTCTCCTTTGGGCTACTGTCAGGATGCCTGAGGGCATGCTTGTGGGCCACTCAGATCAGGGACACTGGCCAGGTCAGGGGACGGGGGATGGGGTCTTCAGCTTCCACCTAAGCCCTGGATTCTCAGAATTCCACCTCCCCACTCCCAAATCACCTCCCAAAGAGAAGAGCTGAGGCCCTCCCCGATTCCTCCTGCAGCCTCCCCTTGTGTCCTATGCCAGCAATGCTCACAACCTCTGACCCTAATACCAAGCCTGTGTTGGAACCCCTCCCCAGTCCTGCGCCCATAGTCTCAGCAAAGACAGCCACAGAGCCAGACTGCATTTCTAGTAATGTTTTATTGTTCTGCTGAGGGGTCACGTGGATCCTGCTCTCTACCTCCCCCATCTTATCTTAAGTGCCTTGCCTCCCCACCCCGAGGCTTTCCAGATCCCTGCTCCCACCCACAGATTATAGTATACTCATGATAGAATATATGTGTGTGTATATAGACGTGTGTGTATATACATATATATATATGTATATACACACACAAATACATATATATATTCTGACTGTACAGTATTTATAGGTACAAATAAAATAGGCTTAAAAATTACAACGTTGGCTGGGACCCATCCCACTCTAGTTTATTCATCTGAAAGAAAAATAAAGCACCAGTTGGCATTTGAATTTCCACATGAACCAAGATGGCTGGTGGGTGGGATAGGTCAGGTTTGGATCAAGCTCCAGCTGGCTGAGATGACACTAGGCCATTCTATCTGGCTGGCTGGCCGCCTGAGCTGGGGGCCAGGTCTCTGCTTGAGGAAGGGACTGTTATGTCAGCCTGCTACCGCAGGAGAAAGGACATGGACACAGATCTGTCTCTCCTCGCCACCATCTGCTTGTGCTCAGCCCATGCAGTGAGGGGATGAGCCTGTTTACTCTGCAGACATGGCAGCGTGTGCCCAAAGGCTACATGGGACCCCAGAGAGTGGCAGATAAAGTATGGGGCCCAAGCCAGAGGAGATTGGTTCATTGGTCTCTTGAGACCTGAGAAAGGAAGGCTCCCCCCACTCTCACATCTCAAGCTATCCCAAATCGTTGTTGCCTGTCAGTGCCCACTCTTTAAATCAGCTTCATAAAAGTCTTCATTGTATTTACACAAGTAAAACAGATCGTGGGGTTGGGGCTGCCCTGTGCTCTGCCCCTGTGCACATCCACTCCAGTCCAATTTCTCTGGAAAAGCCAGTTCAGGGCCAATGTTGGGCCTAAAGGCAGGACCAGAACTTCCTGTCCAACCTCAAAGGGACTCTAGTACCAAACAGGATGGCTTGGCCTCTCTGAATTGTGGAGATCTGGGAGCACACACTGCTGTCTACTTCCTTCCCCCTGCAGTGGAGGGCAGCCAGTAGGGCTTCAGATTGACTGGTGGCTCCATGGGCCTGGAGGGCAGTAGCATCTTCTTGCTCCTAAAATGACTCCTCTCCCCCTCTCTCTCTCTTTCTCTCTCTCTCTCTCTCTCTCTGGAGAGCAGAACACAGGTTTGAGGGTGGAATGGAGATGGAACACTGAAATTCTCTTTTCCTCCCCTGTATGTGTGGAGGAGCTTCAGGAAGTAAGGGAGGCAGCTGCAGCTGCACAGGCCTGCCTCTGCCCCTGGAATCAGCAGCTGAGAGCTGCTCTCCTCTCATTTCCCTCTTACTCCTTTGGTACCGGGGGCCCAGGTGGTGCCACCCTGGGACCAGGCCGAGGCTCACAACTTTGTCTCAGGACCAGCTGCTTGCAGGGTGGGGAAGGAGTCCCGGATCTTTGCCACTTCCATGGCACACAAGTGCCCAAAGACTTTGTTGTACCAGTCAGGAGAGCGGCCCCTGGGGAGGTAGAAACAGGCAGGCATGAGCCAGGAGTTCTCTGGAGCCCTTGCCAGGGGAAGGGGAGAAAGGACATGCTTCCAGCCCCCAGGGATCAGCGGTGTGGGGCAGAAGCAGAGGGTGCCAGGGCTGAGGGGGCCTGGTACCTGAGGTCTGCACGGCAGATGTGAGTGAGCCGGGAGCGGCCCAGGCCACAAGGCTCCATGAGGTACTGGGAAGTGAGCATCAGGGCCCGCACCCCTGACTCTGGCACAGGTTGCTCAGGATCCAGGGACTGAGAGACAAGCAAGCAACCCCCACGGGGCAGGTCAGAGCGCCACATCCTGTGGGAAAGGGAGACACACTCAGGTTCCTTGTGCCAGTTTCCACCCCACCTCCCTAGTCCCCCAGGCACGGCAGGCTGACAGCTGGAGGCCCTCACCGAAGTACCACGAAGTCACGGCAGGGATGGGGTGCCATGCTGTCGGTGACATAGTGGTACAGCTCCACACCCGGCATCAAGGCTTCCAGCACCTGGGCCCGCAGCAGATCCTCATCCCAGAGGGCTCGCTCCCGCAGAACACGGTGTAGCACCACAGCTGGAGGGGCCGCCACCTCTGTGGATGCCTTCCACACACGCAAGGGGTGCCCGTCAGGTGCCTGCAAGCCACACGAGTGGGGACAGGGAGCAACTGTCAAGGCTGGAGAACTCCCACTCAGCTCTAGTCCTGGCCTGCCTGCACTCCAGCCCCTGGCAAAGGAAGGCTGCAGGGCTACTCTGCTGATCCTAGCCAGATCCAGACAGGCCATCCCTGTGTTCCCTGTCCTCTCTCTCCTTTCTGGATGTCTGCCTCTCTATCTGATCAAGAGCACAAAGAGATGATGAGACACACATTCTCTGAGGCCTACTAGGCTCTACCACGAAATGGGCACAGTGCTTGGAATTTCTGGAAGTGAACAGGCAGAGAAGATGGCGATAGTCCTCGAGGAACTCACCATCTAGCGCGGGAAGTAGAACATGTGCACAGCAACAAAGGCTGCTCTTTCTTGAGCCTTTTGTCTATGCCAGGCACAGGGCAAGCTTCTCACTCTGATCCTATAAGAGAGGCTTTACTATGACCGGTTTATACATGGTAAACCTCAGGCTTGCAGTCTTACTCATAATCAGGATCCAAGAAAGAACATGGCTAGTGCCAAGAGAAGGACAGAGAGAAGTCACCTCCAGCCTAGGGCATGACGAGAGGCTCTGAATGAAGGAGGAGGCATATTAAGTTGGGGCTTAACGTGGCTCGGGAAATGTAGTGCTTGGGGCAGGTCAGTCCAGGCAGGAGGACAGCAGGGGCAGAAGCACACAGGTGGAAATGTAAGGAGCTCAGCGCAACTGTGGGGCAGGAAGAGATGGCAGGTGAGGCTCTAAAAGTAGTGACATGTCTGGAGTGGGGCCTTGGGAGGGTAATTCTTACAGGTGATCCCTGAAAGAGATCCCTTAGTCTCGTTTGGTTCTCAATTCATTAGGGTACTTGCTTCACTGGCTGGCATTCTCCAAGTATCAGGCTGAGGCACAGCAAGACTAGTTGGGCAGCTCCTTCCTTTGGGATCCCTGCCCCCTCCCCCGCCTGCACCACACCCTCCCCCAGCCCCATGGCAACCATGGGCAATGTGCTGCTCACCTTCCTGCAGGCCAGCTCTGTGTGCTGGGGCCCCGGCACGCTCACCCAGCCCTTGAAGCGCTCAGCAGCATCGCGCAGCAGCTCCTGGACGCTCTCTTCCATGTAGAGGCTCAGGCTCATGCCAGCAGCTCGGGCCTGCCGCAGCTCAGCTAGGGCTGGGCCCGGAGGGCTGAGCTCGGCTGCGCTGTAGGAGCCACACAGTTGCAGCACCATGTCCTGGGGCACCTGGGAGGGCACACACACCAGGCTGGGGGCCGTGAGGAGCAGCAGAGGGTCAGGGACCCTCAGTCTTAGAGCCCATGGGGCCTGCCAGGTTCATGTTAAGTGGATGGAGAGGCCTGGCTACTGCAGTGAGGCAGATGAGAAACCTTGTAGGGGAAGAGTCAGAAGTAGGAGGATAAGGGGTATGTGTCAAGTTGGGCCCTAACCCCGCCTTGGGGTGCAAAGCTCGAGCCTGATGGTTCCCCTGGGTCTGGAAAGTAGGTACCATGGCCTGGAAGTACTCACCTGGAAAAGTTTCTTGCAGTCACTGATCATGTGTGATAGGCCCTGGGTGGCAGCCATGTTCTCAGTTAGGTCCCTTGGGCCTGGCCGGCCAACCAGGCTGCGTTTGCTCTTGATCCTGGAGAGAAGTGCCAGGAGAAGAGGATGGCCCAAAGGCACAAGACAAGATGGCTGACAAGCTGGCTTCCAGCTCCCTGGAAGCCAGCTTGCCAGTCCTGAACACAAAACAACCTGCTGCCCTTTAGAAGGAAAGCCCTTCTTCACGGCATCCAACCAGTCCTGGGCCCCTGAGGAGTCAGGCTGAACCCTGGTGGTGACGCCTGAGAACTGCAGTGCTGCCATCAAGGGCCAAAAGTCCAACAGGGTCCAAATCTTCCCTGCCTGGCTCTGCCACACCCTGCCCTGTTTCACCTGGGTGAGGGGCTATCCTTCTTGGAGATGTTGAGGTGGAAGATGGAGGGTGCCAGGCACACTGCCAGGTTGCCGGCTGTCATCTGGTTTTCCTCAGCAGAGGCAATGTCACTTAGGAAATAGAGCAGAGTCTGCAGCACCTCTCGGTTCTCGTCAGGGAGCAGCAAGGTGGCGGCTTGTGCTGCTGCCAGCCATTGATCCTTGGGGAGGACTGTAAGGAAGGGACGGCAGAAGGGCTTCCTTATTCCCCTAGAGCCTCCAGCAGCCAGCCTCTTGCTTCCAGGAATGCAGAAGGCACAGTGATCCCAAGGGAAGCTAGTGAGAAGGGCAAAGGTGGGCCCTGGGTGCTAGATCAAGCTCTGCTCTACTGTGCAGTGTAACCTTAGGTACGTCCCTGCCTTTCCTCAGGGCCTCAGTCAATCCTTCCATATAATGGGTCGGGGCGGGGGATAAAATGTGGTCTCTCCCCAGGGGGCTTTCCAACTCTTGATAGTAAATCTTTCAATGAGCTCATGGCTGTGACTCCATTTGCCCACATCAGGTTTATCTTCCACAAGCCCTAGGATTCACGGAGGCTGAGAATGGGGCGGGTTGTTGGGGATAGGTGCAGGTGACTCACGCTGGTAGATCTGCAGGAAAGTGGTGGTGAGTTTGCTGGTGAAGATAGGCTCAGGCAGGTCCCGGAAATACTGCTTCAGCAGGTCAGCCACATCATAGGCCGACTGGCCCTCATAGCAGACATTGTCGGGGGAGGTCTCATTCATTTGGCGCAGGTTCTGGATCCTAGACTTCACCCCAGACTTGCGGAAGATACCCACCTGGGTCCATGCAGGGGAGGGAGGGAGGGATGGGAGGGAGACTGTGAGGGCAGCCTTGCACCAGGAGTCAAGAGTGTAGGCCACCCCAGAGACTTCCAAGCCTGGCAGGCTTCCTGCTGGGCAGGGTAGGAGAGAAATGGCAAAACCAAAGAGAAGGGTTTTTATAGCTTCGGGGCCAAGGAGAAAGACAGCTTTAGTGGAGATGAGTAGGAAAAGGGGGACCTAGGCTAAGGCAGGCTCCTGGAAGATGGGGACTATAGCACCTGGGCCAGAAATAAGCTGGCACAGAGCCAGGCAGAAGGGAGCTTCGGCTCCATCTGTGCTGGGCCTTCCTGAGGACAGGAAAGGTCTCTGCTCAACCCAGGGGAAAGGTCAGAGCAGTTTCCCTCCTCAACTCCTTAGCATCGGACCTCCTCCCCAGTTCCATCTCTCTGCAGGCTCCCCGGGAGGCCTCACCTGGTCCAAGCACTGGCTGCGCAAGTAGCGCATGGCTTGCTGAATGCTCTGCGGCAGTGGCTGGCCTGTGCGCTGCACGTGGATGAGAGGTGGCACCCCAAACACGTGCTGGCCCCTGTAGTCTGGGGTCTTATTCCTTTTCATGAACTTGGGCACTGACCTGTTTGGGAGAGTAACAAGAGATCAGGGAGGGGGCAGGGTAGGCTGGGACATAGCTCAGAGACTCTGTCTGCAGTCTTGAGGGGCTCAGGAAGGGGCGAGCAGGGTAAGGAGCAGACCACATCCCAGAGGCAACATTCACTGAGCACCTGCTCTGGGTCCAGCCCTAGGGGGTCACAGAGGAACATAGGGAGCTCTGAGTCTGGTCAATTGTGTCAACAGGCAATGACAATACATGTGGCCAGGAGTAGGCCAAGAACCCGAGGGAAGACCCATGAGGGAGGGGAACTGTACCTAGCAGGTCAAGGAAGGCTTCAGAGAGGAGGTGAAAATTCAGCAGGCTCTTGAGGGACAGGTAGGTGTTGTCCCAGAGGAGAAATGGGGAAAAGGCATTTGAGACAGACAGAACAGAATGGACAAAGGCAAAGAGGCAGGAAAAAGAGCATGGCACATTCAGGGAAGGGCGACCAGTCCACTGGCCTGTATGGTGGCATTGGTTGGGAATGGCAGGCTAAAGAACCTGACAGATGGGGTGGGGCCAGAAGAGAAGGAAACTGGACCTCATTCTTTGGCAATGGAGAGCCACAGAAGGGTGTTTATCAGAGAGTGACAACTAAAGCTGTATTTTAGGACAATCTCAACGGTGGCAGCATGGAGGTTGGGATGGAGGAGGTACAGCTCAAGGACTAGGGTCCCCCACCCCCACCCCTCCTCACACACAGCACACATGCTCATCCCACGCGCATCCCCTACAGATATATGCAAGCCATCCAGAGCCATGCTGACTTCTCGGGCCACAGCCCCTCCAGCCTCCTGGCACATCCCACCACTCCATTGGCCTGTGGGCCCTGCCTGCCTACACCCACCTTCTGGGGCTGACGCTCCCAGGGCCCTGGAGAGGGGGCAGGGAGGGAGCCAAGACCTAGGTGAGCAGCTCCCCCCACCCACCATGGCCCAGGAACACTCACCAGACCCAGCCCTGTTTGTGAGGCACAGTGTACTTCTCCATGAAGGCAGTGAGCCGCAGCAGCGAGCCCTTGTGCAGGAGGTGGATCTGGCCAGCAAATTGCCGGTTGATCTCCAGCGACTCTGAGTTGAGGCTGGGCCGGTGGGAGTTCTGGAAGCTGTGCCACCGGAGCTTCCTGGTGAGGGATGAGGGGATGGAGAAGGCCAGAGGAGCAGGTTTGGGTAAACTTTAGAAAAGGTTGTGTTCCTCTGGTCCCTTTTCTCTCCCCAAAGAAAGAAAATGCAGGGAGATGGGACCACTGTCAGCATTGCTGCTGGGTCCAGGGCTGCCCAACAGTCAAGATGCTGTCAGGGAGGATGGCACAGAGCTCAGGCCCATCTAGTGCCAGCAAACAGTACCAGCCCCCTACCTCTCCAAGACTGCAGTAGAGAGGATGCTCTGAGAAACCCAGAATGGCGAAGCTAGGCATCAAAGACCATCTCCTCTAACACCCTTGATTTACACATGAGGAAACTGAAACCCAAAGAGGAGCTAAAATTTGCTCAATGCCATAGCAGAGGCAGGTCCTGAACCTAACATTCTGGATTCCCGAGTCTTGGAGTATTTCTATTTCTCTCCTGGGACTGGCTGCCTGGAGGCAATCACCCAGGCCCAAGAACCTGCTCCTGGGCCCCATAACTAAGAAACTGGCTTGAGGGTGGGGGGAGATGCAGAGAGCAGCGGGGAGAGGAGAAGGGAGGGAGAGAGGGGGAAAGGGAGAGACAGAGAGAAACAACAGAGGCCCCTGGTCTCACCCCTACCCTGAACTCCCACCTGCAGGGTCTGGTAAGTGAGGCCCCAACGCCTGAATCTCGTCGTTCACGGGGCGCTGATGCCTGGAGTCCAGCCGGGGACCCTGAGGCCTCAGCCTCGTTCATGGAGTTCCCGCTACAGTCCAGTTCGCTGGAGGAGGCCACAGTGTCAGAAATGGAGTGTCCTTCTTCCGCAGACAGGCTGGAGACAGAGGTGGGTTCCCTGCTTGAATTCGCCTCCTGCTCATTACCCTGGGCTGGGCCCAGGGCCTCTGCCTCTGCCTGTGCCAGGGACTCAGCCTCAGCTGGGGCCTGAGCCGGAGCCTGAGCTGGGACTCCTGGCTGGTCATCAGCCTGGGGCGGGGCTGAGGACTCTCTGTGGGCCAGAGCCTCGACCTGGGCCAGAGCCTCAGCCTGGCCTTCAACCTCGATTGTGGCTATTTCTACTGATGAAGCGGCCTCCTCCTCTTCTTCATCCTCTTCTTCCTCTTCCTTATCTCCAGGCCCCAGATCTGGGTACATGGCCTGAGACCAAAGCTCTACCCGTTGCTGCAGGCCCCACACATGCTGGAGGATGTCGTCTAGGTGGGCATAGCTGCCCCCAACCTCCTCATCTTCGGCGTCAGCCCCAGCCAGTACAGGTTCAGCTGGGTACAACTCAGGCATATTGTCATAGGTGCTGGCATGGCTGCCCGTGGAGCCACAGGAGCCCCGGCGCCCTTCATAGCCCCAGCGCCTACCTGGCTGCCAATCTGCCAAGCGTTGTCCATCCTCAGGACACAGGCTCTCAATGGACAGGGAGCGAGGGAATGTGCCTGGTTTGTGGTCCCTGGGGACATGCACCAGGCAGTCACCCCGGTGTACCCGCTGAGGATGCCAGAACGTGGCCACAGGCCAGGCCTCCCAGGCCCTCTGAGTCTCAGCACCAGCACCACTGGCTGAGGTGGCTGGCTGGTTCTTGACCCTGTAGAATCCAGTAGAGAGGAAGCCACGGCGACTACGGAAAGAGGAGGCTTTTGAGGCCTTCTTGGGGGTGGCTGGGCTACCCTCAGGCTCTGCTTGCCGGCTGCCACCCTTTTCCTTCCGCCTCAGAGACTCAAGGTGCTTGAGGAAGCTTCGAGAACGGTGCTTCTTGGCTTTGTCCTGGGGACTCTTTTGGCCCCGGGTAGGGCTGAGGAGGGGTCGGTCACTCGGGCTGGGTGCACGGCTTAGGGAGGGCAGAGCCGCTGGCTCAGGCGCTAGGCTCACGGTGATGGCTGGCAGGGAGGTGGCGCTAAACTCAGTGAGGATGCTCTCACAGCTGGAGGTCACTGGCAGGCCATGGCTTGGTGGGGCCAGCAGGTCAGAGGAGTCCACACGAGACCAGCATTTACTTTCTTGCTGGAAGGCCCAGTGGTTGCTGATGGTACACTGCTCTTCCTCCTCTGAGTCTTCATTCTGGGAATGGTGCCACAGGGTTAGGTCAGAGAAGTCCAGCCCACAAGCCCTTGCTTGTGTTCCACTCTCTGCCTCCAATCTCTTGGGGGACTTTGAGGCAAAGTGCCCTGTTCTCTGCTTGAGGACATGTCCTAGAGTAGGGAGCTGGCTCTGGGAGTGCCAGAGGAAACCAGGAGTCATAGACAGAGACTAGATGGATGGTAACAGTCATTTGATTAATCTAATCTCTCCCCAATTTGATTAATCTAATCCCTCCCCATTTTACAGATAGGGAAACCCAGACCCACAAATGAGAAGCCACTTGCCTAAGGTCATACAATGTCATGCAGTAAGTCAGTGACAGAGCCAGGGCTAGAATCCAGGTGTCTTGACCTCCTGTCCTCAGCAGCCTCCCAAGTCTCTAGACTATAGTCTTAGATTAGAATCACAGAATGCGAGAGCTGGAAGGAGATTTTAGATTTTCTAATTTTCTAATTTTCAAGATGGGGAAACTGAGAGAGGGGAAAGCTTGCCCAAGGTCACCGAGCAGAGAGGGGCAGAGCTACGACCAGGCCCCAGGGATCTCCTGCTTCCCGAGCCAGGGCTCTGGCAACTTGGCTGACCCACTTGGCTGCAGGCTTCAGGTAGAGAAAGCCTCAGAAGAAACCCACAAAGCCTGACTCCAGGGAAGGATGGGGTCACCAGGCCTGCATTCCAGGGCTACGTGCAGACCAAGAGTCCTCTCAGTTTCTGCAATCCCAGATTGGCAGAGTTGGAAAGGTCTTTGGAAGCTATTAATGCACCCCCCAATTCGTTATAGAGATGGGGAAAATGAACCTCAGAGGGGTTAGACTTTGTGGCGGTGAGGTTGGGGATCCTGACTTCTAAGACCACATAGGCCATGATTTTCCGACCACATTATTCTATCTCTGTGCCCTAGTCAAGGAACTTTCACTATCACAGAGCAGGTAGTGGAAGCAGATAGATTTCCCTGAGGAAGAATGATCACTAGGTCAAGTTATTAGTAAACCCAGGAGGGAGAAGTGGGCTGAGGGGGTTGGGTGAGGCCATGGGCCAGGGCACTTGTTCTCACAGTCAAACCTCTAGACCAGGCTTTCCAAAACCCAGCAGCCTCCTAGGAACCCCTACCTCTCACTCCTAGGCTAGAGCAAGGCACTGCTCCGGATACCCCAGATTCCCGGGACATCGGAGCTAGTTTTGCAAGTGATTTGTGTATGTCCTGGGTTCCCTATGGTGCCACAAGACCACAACCCTACCCTTGTCATGACTCACCTGCTTGCATTGAAAATGAACCTCCAGTTTCATCGAGGCACAATTGTTCAAGGTCATCAGCCTCCTGCAAGGAAAGGAAGCAGTGTTCATTCAAGGGTATCAACCCCCAAAGCCTGCAGGGCATAGCCTACCAAGACACTCCTAAGATGCCATCCAATACTTCACATGCCCAAGCCATCAACACTTCTCCCAAGCCCCAGTGTTCATGAAGGTTTCAGTGCCAGATATGATGCTGGGGAGATTATGGCCTCTGTCCTCCAGGAGTTTATAGATGTGGAACAAACCACTACAGAGATGGGACAGGTTCAAGAACAGAGTAGACAGAAGGCACTACAAGCACACTGAGGGTGGGTCAAGGAACTTCCATGAACAGAGGGGTTGCAGTCAGAGAAGGCTTCCTGGAGGACAGAAATGGGATTCTGAGGGAGAGAGAAACAGAGACTCTATCCTAGGCTTTAACAGGAGCTGTGACAAGGTAGAGAGGGAAATGGTCAGCAAACAGATGAGCCTGGGTGTGAGATGGGGGCACTGAGGCTGATAAGGGTCGGTCAAAGCCAGATTGTAAAGGACTTCGGGTGTCATGCTAAAAATCTTCAAACTTTCCCCAGCAGGTAGTGATACACTTTAAGCAAAGGAACACCCGCTTGGAAGCTGACTCTAGTGGCTGGATCAGGGTGAGGGCAAGGAGGGGAATACAGAGATGGAAAGGAGGAAGGCCAGTTAGGAGGCTACTGTAATGGATCCAAGAAGTTGTGGTTTGGCTTCAAACAAGGGCCAAGCCACTGTAAGTAGAGGGGGGACAAATCAGAGGAATGTTTGGGGGATCTGACTGAAGGGAGAAAAGATTCAAGGCCAGATCTTGGCTTTGTAGCTAGAGTATATGTGTGAGTGAGGGTGTCACAGACATAGAAACAGAGCGAGCAGAGTGACTGCAGCAAATGAGCTTTGTTAATAGGCCAGGCTCCTCCTCTGTTAGAGGAGACAGGGACTGCTTTCTTCCATGAGGAAGCCCCAAGCCAGGCCCTGACCTCCTGACCCTCAGCCCCCCTACCTGCGCAGGGCCCCCAAAGAGTCTTCGTCCAGAAAACTGTGGTCCTTCTTCACAGAGCCAATATCCAGGGGAAACGAACCTTCTGTACGGCAGAGAGAAGCCAAGATGAGTAAAGGGTGGTAGGTCAGAAACTCAGTGCCAGCAGCCCTTGAGCAGGAAGGGGAAGGCCAGGGAAGCAGGGAGGCAGAAAGGCAAGAACCAAGGAGAAGGAGAAAGCCCGGAGTAAAAGAGGGGCCCAGGGAGCTCAGGGTTGACTGTCCGGGAAAGGCCGAAGCGAGGCCAGGAGGGTTGAACTGGACAAGAGGACCCATCAGTCAGCGAGGCAGGTCCATAGCGGACAGCAGGCCTGAGGCCCTCGGTGGCTGCTAAGAGCCAACCTGGGCTCCTCCAGTCCCCTTTGAATCCTGGGCTGCTCAGAGAGGAAACCTTCTCTTTGGCCTAAGGTGAACTGGAGGGAGCAGAGAGGGAGAAAGGAGAGTGTGCAGCCAAACAACACCTCACTTCCCGCTATTGCTCAGAGCAGAGGAGCCCACTCCCTGGGGTTTGGCAAGGGGAAGGGAGAGAGGAAGGAGCGGGGGAAGAGGAGAGAGCATTCAGGAAATCCCATACCTCTCTGCCTTACTGGCAAAACAAGCCGACTGACTCATTTAGCTAATATTAACTGAGCACCTACTTGGTGCCAGGCACTGAGAATACAACCGTGAACAAGATAAAAATGACCCCTGCCTTCATGGAGTTTACACTCTCATAGGGGCCGAAGATAATAAACAGTGTATGAAACAGACAAGAGAATGCAGTTCTAAATGCTATGAAAGACATTAGCCACGGTGATGGGGTAAAGAGAGGCTTGTGGGGTGGGGGTACGTGTAGCGAGGTGGTCAGCAGAGGGCTTTCTGAGGTGGGGACTTCTGAGCCGAGTCCTGAAGAGTGAGAAGGGGCCAGCCGTGCAAAGAGCCTGGGAAGAGAGCTCCAGGCAGGACTAACATTAAGGCTCCAAGGAGGGAAAGAGCCTGGTATGAGCAAGTGGTGGAAAGGAGCATGGAGCAGAGTGAGCAAAGGGGAGAGGAGCGAACGGAAGTTGGGTGATGCAGTCTTGTTGGCCAGAATAAAGCGCTTGGGCTTACTTCCTGCTGAGTGTGCTGGGAAGCCAGCAGAGGAGCGATACAGTCAGAGCAGAGGAGTGACAGAGCGTGGCTTTTGGCTCACCGAGTCCCTCCAGCTGCGGTGCAGAGTAGAGGAGGGAGTGCAGGAAGGAGGCTGGCGTGCCAGGCCAGGCAAGCCATAGAGCAGTGAAGATGGCAGGAAGTGGATCAATTTAAGATATATCCTCGAGAGAAAAGGAACTTGCTAAAGGGTTAGATATGGAAAACAAAGGAAAGGAGGACTTGAGAATGATTCCTGGAGGTGGAGCTTGACTGGATGGTGGTGCCGCCAGGAGTTTGGATTTAGACCTGTTGCATCTGAGACGCCAGGCAGACATCCGACTAGATATTTGAATTGGCAGTTGAATAGATCAATCTGGAGCTTGGGAATGAGATCTGGACAGAGAAACATTTGGGAGTCACCTAAATATAGATATTACTTGTCAAGGATCTCCTGGGAAAGAAATGTCGAGAGAGAAGAAGGGCCAGGATTGAGCCCTGGGGCACCCCAACACTTAGATATCAGTTAGAGGAAGCAGAGCCAGCAAAGGAGACTGAGAGCAGCAGCCAGAGAGCCAGCCAGGAGAGGAGGGTGTTCCAGAATCTGAAGTGCGTGGCCAACTGCACTGAATGCTATTGAGAGATTGGGAAGTGACTACTGAATTCGACCACGTGGAGGTGCCTGGTGAGTTTGGCAAGGACTGTTTTGTTGGTGAGGTGGGGGTGAAGCCAGGGTGCAGTGGGGATATGGGAAGAAGAGGGGACGTGGAAACAGCAAGTATGAACAACTCTAAAGAAAGACAGAAAAATGAGGGAAAACAGAGAAATGAGGCCGTGGAGAAGGTGAGGTGAGGGCAAGGGACGCCAGCGTGCGCCTTCCACATGGCATCTATGTAAGTGGAGTCCTCAGAAGTGGTACAAAGCAGTGGCCCTCATCAAAACAAAGTACTTTAACACATGGGCAACACCAGAGCTTGTAAGAGCCTATGAGAGTGATCCAGTGGAGATGATTATGTAGGAGAGAGAAGTTGTAACTATAGGAGCACGGCCAGGGTACACAGCTTCCTGTGTAGTGGGAGAAGGGATCTGATTTGCTCCATTTTACAGACGAAGAATGGAGGGATGAGGTAAGTTTTTGGGGGGGGGGAGGGGGAGGAACTGAGTGGCCTTACCTTCAAAAAGCTGAGCATACTGAGGGAATCCTGTCGCTCGGAGCCACTCGCATGCTTTTCTGGCCTCAGCTTCTAAAACAGAGCAGAAGAAGAAAAACAGGCAGAGAAAAGGGGTTAGTGGGGTGCGGACACCAAGCTAACCTGGGTGTATGGTGCCTCACCTCCAGCAGGAAGGCACCTGTAGTTCTGATAATCTGGAAATGGCAAGAGAAGCACGGAGGGACCAACACATTTGCTCCATGTCACAGCCAGCTAGGATTCACCCCCCACTCCCCAAGCCCCACTACCTGCATGTTCGGAGCACCTTTCTTGAGCCTCATTTCCTGTGTGTCCCAATCGTCTTCCCCTCTCCTGCCTCTGCCCAAGAACAAAACTCACCACCAGCAGCAACTCCCAGGAATGTCTGGGGTCAGGGAGTACTGCTGGGGGAAGAAGCCACAGCTGTGTCTTCACCCTCCCCTTCCTCAGGGAGCTGTCCCCTTACATGGCCCTGAGTAGACTATCCTAGTCCAGCTAGGCATATGAAATGTTCAACAATTATTATTTTCTTTCCCATCAACCTACCTAACATTCCCCAGCATTTTGATAACCAAATCTTCTTTAACACACACAATAAGCTCTGAAGGTTTTACTATACACATTTTACAGATCTCCGAAGAGGCTCAGAAAGGAAGAGCTCATATACAGTCTCACAGTTGACGAGGTAGCAAGAGTCTAAGCTCAGTCTGACTCCCGCTCAGAGTTCCTACCCTTCTGACATGACAGCTTCCCTAGTGCTCTTTCTGCCCTACCACTCATCAAGTTCAGCCCTCCCCACCCCCCCCGGGAGCCTCCCAGGACTGCCCTGGCTCTCACCTGTGGCTCGATCTATTTGCGGCATAACTCAGTGCCGATTGTCATGTCGACACAGTGCTGCCAGTGGGAATCTTAGAGGGCAATGGCGGGATCAGACTCCTGCCTGTGCTCTGGGGGTGCCTGGCACTGAGTGGGGCACCCCTGCCAGTCTCAGCTGAACTGAAGCCACAGAGGAGGCCCTCCTGGCCAGAATAGGCTGAGCACCAGCAGCAAAGCCCTGGAACCACTCAGGCAGCTATTTGTTCCCTACCCAGGTGGTGCCAGGGAGCAGTGTGGCTGTGACTGTGGGACCTAGCATTGTGGGGTTGAGGGGAGGTTGCTGGCTTAGCAGAGCTGCTCTGGCTACGGAGTCCTGCCCCCATTTCCTCCATTTCCTTAGCACCTGTGACCAGGGGACTCCAAGGAGCCTGGTGGGGTTTTTCCAAGACAGGAAGTACTCTCTCTTCCCAGTGCTCTCCCACAAGGAAATCCGGGATGACATCCTGGCAGCCAAGACTGATAAGTTAAAGGACAAAATGGTATTTCAGAGATGCTGGGTGGGTAAACAAGGGAGGAAAGAGTGCAGGAAGGTGGAAGTCAGAAAAAATAATAGGCTCCTCAAGGACCACACGCTGATGAGGATTTGAAGGGTGAAGACCCTGAGGGCTTTTGGGGCAAACAGGGGCAGGGTGGGGATGAACACCTGTGCATTTCTGTGAGTGCATGCATCAGGTAGGTGCCGCCCCAGCATCTGTCTCTGCATATACCTGTAGTCCAGTTTGCTCATGTCCGTGATCCATGTGGATTGGTATAGGATTGTACACCTGTATACACACAGCTACAGGCCCCTCGGTGTGTGCATGCACCTGCACCTGTGTGTGTGTGTGTGTGTGTGCGTGTGTGTATGTTTTTTGTTACTGCATCTTTCTAACCTATGATAAAGATTTAGGGGTCACTAGGACATCTGAGAGGTCCTGGAAATCATTTGTTCCCACAGAGCCCTGCTAGCAGTACCTCAGCCCCTCTGGCAGGGGGCAATGCAGGCCTGGGAAAGGATCCAGGTCTGTAAGCCAGTGGTGGTCTGTGGGATGTGATAAGAGCAGCCAGAAGGGACTTAAGACACAGCCCCAAGGAGCATTTGAGGGACATGGTTTTGCTGCTAAGACAGCTGAGCCAGCTGCCACAACACTTCCTTGTCTCCTTCTCCTGCCACACCCCTGGGAGAAGGCCCTTCCCATCCTCAGAGCTCCTCCAACAGCCAGCTCTGCTTTCCTGTCATTAGGACAAAGGGGAGGTGCCAAAGGAGGGACCAGGTCAGAATTTCCAGAGAGGCAGGCACAAGGAGACAATGACCCCTAAAGGGCCACAAGTCTGGTATGGCCACCCCAGGCAGGGGAGCCAAGCCCCAGGGATAGACCTGCATGTCAGGAACACACTCTTGAAGAGGTAGAACAAAGAGGAGAAGGAAGGAGCGAGGTACCTGCCTGCCCGTTACTCCCTTGCTCCTTCCTTAACCTGAAGGGGATGGGAGAGTCCTGCGTCTCACACATCTGCATCATCTGCCCTAGTCACGGAGCCCATGGAGCATGGTGGGCTGCCTGCTCCCCTCCTACTATGACTAGGCAGTGGCCCTAGCCAGGGTTGGTGGGAAGGAGACCAGCTCACTCAGGTGTGCGCCAAATTCTTTCACTCCTACCTAGAGCCCTCTAGCTCCCTGCTATTCAAAGCGTGACCCCTGGACCAGCAGCAGCAGCATCACCTGGGAGCTTGCTAGAAATGCAGAATTCCAGACCTATTGAATCAGAATCTACACTTAAGTGGATCCTTAGGTGATTTGCAAGCACATTAAAGCTTGAGGAGCACTGGTCTAAATCACCCAGCTCAAGGATTCTCCCCCTTGGATCCACATTAGAATCAGCTAAGAAGCTTTTAAAAAATACCAATTCCTAGGGGCCACATCCCTGGAGGCTGATTTAATTGGTCTGTGGTGGGACTCTCCAAACCAGTATTTTTTCAAAGCCACGGTATGGGGCACACTAGGGCCTAAGGGACTTTTCCACGTCACACAAAGTTAAAGTGTCACAGCTGACACTGCGACCTTGATCTTTTAGTTCCCTGTCCAGCACTCTTTTCCACTGCATTATGCCGCCTGCCCTCAGATGCCAGGTAAACAAAGAGCTTAGACTCAAAGGGACCAACTCCAGGCCCCCAAACTGTTTTCTGCCCCTTCTGGTCTAGTGGAGTTACAAGCCTGAGTTCAAATCCCGGTGCCACCAATCACCAGCTCTCTGACCTTGGGTAAGTTGTTTAACCTTTCTACAACTTAGTTTCCTCCTCTGTAAAACGGGAGTAATAAAATTCACTTCTAACAGCTACTCAGAGCATTAAATAAAATACTGGAGAGAAAAAAAAAAACCCTGTCACATAGCACCAAGCACTCAACAAATGAGTTCCCTCCCCACTCTGACTGAAGGGTCCCAAGGAAAAAGAGGAAACTGGAGAAAGAGGCCCAGCTAGCGTTCCCTTGTGGGTCTGGAAAATGGCTGCATCCACCTCACTGCTGGAATGAGAGAATAAGACTCAGGGAAGTGAGGTTAGGAGGCAGAAGCTTCAGAGGCCACAAGAGCTCCAAACGACAAAGCAGCCAAGGAGTTTGAAGCAGGGCTATGGACTGAATCCCCAGCAGCGCTCCCTGGCAGGAATCTGGAGAATGTGATACATTATTATCCAACAGGATGTCAGGGACATTGGCTTCTGACAATATACCACCTCATGGAGGCCCTGAGGCACCCTCCCAGACAGAGCAGTCAGGGACACATGTCTTGGTGATTAAGAGCTGAGCTAAGGTGCTTGGCCTTCATCCCTCCCACCCATCCCAGCCTGCCCAGGCTGGGGCCAGGAGTGACCACCCACACCCAGTAGAGTCAATTCACCTTGGAGCTGGGGCCCAGGTGGCCCAGACTGAGGACTGTCTTCTGTGCCTGGCGGGGAGAGTGACACCGGGCAGGCTGAGGCGAGTGATGGAGGAATGTCTGTGGCCCCTGGTCCTGCCTCTGTGTCCAGATGTGCAGATTCCAGTAGTTTCGACTGCTATTTTCTGCAGGCCGTGCTCTGGCCAAGGCTAGGGTGATATGCCAGGACAGGTCAGGGATGGCACTCAGCTGACACAAGCTGGATTCCACGGAGATTTAAGCTCTGACTCCTTCCCTTGGGAGGGGCCCAGTTGATCTGAGCCCTAAGAGTTGGGGGAGAGGGCATACTAGAAAGATCCAGAGTCAAATCAGGCCTCAGGGCCACACCCACAGGTCTCCTGGAGGGAGTGTCAAAGAAGGAATGGCTGAGCAGCAGCAGATGGTTTCAGAGGTCAGTGACAATATCTGCACCTACACTTACACAGGCCATGTACCAAGGATCCTCTTAGCATGGAGAATTTTTCTATGCAGAGAAGGATGGAATGAGGAGAAAAGCAGGGCTTCTGTTCTTGAGAAATGCTATATGAATGGGGGTAGAGGTTATGCACCCAGGAAAAAGGCTGCAACATCTCCCACTGAGGAAGTGCAATAATGCCCAAAGATGATAACTGAGTGAGTGGGAGAAAAAGCTTTTTCTCATCAAGCTGGCTCCCCTACTTGCTGCCTAAGTCATCTTAGGCAACTTCATTCTTTAAGCTTTGGTTTCCAATCTATACAGTGAGGACTAACAACTTTCCTGCCTACCTCTACAGTTACTGTGTGGATTTGGTCAGGTTTTGTCTGGTTTTGAAAGTGGCTGTACGAAAGTTATCATTAGAGAGGGCTGCTTTGATTAAGACTACTTGAGGGGCCGGCCTGGTGACGTAGTGGTTAAGTTCCTGTGCTCTGCTTCAGCGGCCCAGGGTTCACAGGTTCAGATCCCAGGCGTGGACCTAGCACCACTTGTCAAGCCACGCTGTGGCAGCATCCCACATAAAATAGAGGAAGATTGGCACAGATGTTAGCCCAGCGACAATCTTCCTCAAGTGAAAAGAAGAGGATTGGCAACAGATGTTAGCTCAGGGCCAATCTTCCTCACCTAAAAAAAAAAAGACTACTTGAACTTTGTATTCACATAGTCTTTAAGACTCAGTTCAGATTATGTCCTAGTTGTAAAGAAGTGATAAAGAGAGCTAGGCAGAAAAGAGAAGACAATAGGCAACTAGGCTGCAGGAGGTCAGGCCTCACCCAGCCAATGTCACCAACTCCACTCTCTTCATGCCACTA